ATTAAAACCGTGAGCAACGTGGCAAATTATGGTACGAGTTACCACAAGAGAGTGCTCGAGCGATTGCGCCTGGCACTGCTCATTTTATTTTCGACCCTTATAACATTTTTTTAAAAAATATTTCTCTTTTTTATTAACTTTTTCAACTTACACACATATATACCATATTTTAGTTAAAATTGCTTCCCCCTAAAAAATATTTTCTGGTCCGCCATTGGTTCACACTACAGTGCTTCTTGGTGCTGCCAAGTTGCATAATCATCGAAAAGATAGGCTTAAGGTTAATTAGTTCTAATTACCATTAATGTTAAATAAGATGTTGATTTTGTTCTGGATCCCATTATCATGCTGACCATCCAAAGTTGCTGGTCTTGCTGGGTAATTTAAGTCCTACTTTAATGAGCAACAACTGCTTAAAAAGAAAGAGAAAAAAACTGTTTTATTATCTTTTAGAAGATGAGTGTTAAGAATTTGTAGTGTGAACGGTTGAATCTTTGGTTGTTAAAAAGTAACGGGATTTCGTTGACCAATAGATTGCCTCTTAATTATCTTTTGGCATTTACAAATTTCCAAATATGAAAGATTTGAAGAAAGAGAAAGGAAGTTGCTTCGGTTGGTGCTAACATGGTCTGTCCCTTCGGGACCACAAGTGAGAGCAGGAACCAGGACCGCACATCCGAGGCGAGTTTTTGTGGGAAGCCACCCCTTCCCAGGTGGTGTTTGGCTTGTGGGCCACTCTCCCCCGAAGACCAAAATAAAAGTACCTTACAAATCAACTGCATCTAGAAAGTAAATTATAACAGCAAGTGTCTCAAAGAATCACTCAACTAATTAATTAAGAATTTAAAATTAGATAAAAAAAGATTTAAAAATTTATTTTTTTTGTATAATTTATCATTAAATATTAAAAAAAAAAAATCATAACAGTAAGCCTAGAAAGAACAGCGTCCAGAAAAAAAAAATAATAATAATAAAAAAAGGCGAACCAATTGCAAATGCAACTTCATGGAAGCCAAATCGCAAAATGAGGGGATGTAACGGGCAGGTAGGATAGATGGGCCCCTATTGAGTAGTTTGTAGATATTTCGGCCTGTTGTATGGGATTGGGACTGGAGGCCCGTTACCAAATTTGCCGCATGGGCCTCCAGATTACACCTTTTTTTTTTTGGACCTTTCCAGATTACACCTGAAGTGATAATATTTAAGATCTCCCGTTTTCATTTTTCATCTTTTTGTTCTATTTTCACTGGTGATGGAACTGTATAATTAGACATGAAGTGGATTGAGGTTTTTCTTTTTGTACGTATTTAATTTTAAACTAATCTTATTAGTTCATAGACACACACTCAACAACAGTGGCATTGCTAGGATTAAAGATTAGAGAGGAGGCAAACTATAAATTACAAAAAATTTTCTTTTAAGTAAAATGGATTGTTCAACATCTACGATTAATTTTTAATTATTAAAATAATCTACAAATTACAAATACTTTTTATTTTCAAAAAAATCAAGAACATCCCATTGAAAAAAAATCAAAAGTCTATTATTATAGAAGGTGTTAGAGTGATAGAATTATATTTTGAATTGGGAAAATGAAATAGTGGGTTTAGACTTTAATTAAACTACATATAATTGAAAATTAAGTTTAGATTTGCCCTTTTTTACCTAACTATTAACATATGTAATCAATGTCAGCATGCATAGCAAATAATGTCATCATATGGGTAACCAAGATTTAACAATCAGAGTTCGAGAGATTATGTAACCACTTAAGGGATCAAATCTCTTTATGATAACCTACTGGGATGCACAACATGGATTGAGAACTTCATCGTAAGAAGAATGTTTGTAGATGGAATAAGTGTACATGGTATTCTTTTTTATTACATATGAGAAGAGTAAACTGCATTGAGTTCGGTTGTAGAGATGTAATGGACAAGTCAATGGTGTTTGGGCAGCTTCACGAGATCTAGTTGATCACAAGTTGACCAACATTGGGACCCACAAAACAGACCTGAGGGTTGTTCTTGGAGGTAGACACTTCGGCGCCCAAATTAACAATATTTTATACTTGGGGTTCTTTTTAGAGGGAGAGAAATATAATAGAGAGAGAAGAGCTCTCGAAAAGGTCCGCTACCTTTGAGGGGTGTGGGAGTATTTATAGATCTTTTGGAAGTGTTTTACGCTTGTTGCACTTCTATTGGTCCATTTGGATCCATTTGAGTGTAAATGAGCTCCATTGCGATTCATGGATGTGCTCCTTTACATTTGGGCCTTATGGGCATTTATTACATTTATGGGTTAGTTAGATTACTATCCCAACATTACTCCCACTCCAGTGATTTGTAAGCTTGCTGAAAAATCACAAGAGTTCAACTTTTTGCTTCTATAGGTTATAAAGAGGTCCAATTTATTCTTGAGGAACTTGGCTTGGAAACCTTGATTTGAGATTTCCAGCCTGTAAGTTGAGATTGACGACCTGAAACCAGGGAGCTGAGAGTGACGACCTGGAACAGGGAAATTAAGGAAGTTGAGAGCAACGACCTAGAACCAAGAAGGTCAGATTGACAACTTGGAAAACCAGGAAGCTGAGGAGTGACGACCTGGAAAACCAAGAAGCTGAGGAGTGACGACTTGGAAAACTAGGAAGCTGAGGAGTTACGACTTGGAAAACCAGGAAATTGAGGAGTGACGACCTGGAAAACCAGGAAATTGAGGAGTGACGACTTGGAAAACCAGGAAACTAAGGAGTGATGACCTCAAAAACCAGGAAGCTGAGGAACGATGACCTAGAAAACCGGGGAACTGAGGAATGATGACCTGAAACCAGGGAACTGAGGAGTAACGACCTAGAAAACCAAGATGCTGAGGAATGATGACCTGGAAAACCAGGAAGCTGAGGAATGACAACTTGGAAAACTAGGAAACTGAGGAGTGACGACTTAGAAAACCAGGAAACTGAGGAGTGACGACTTGGAAAACCAAGAAGCTGAGGAATGATGACTTGGAAAACCAGGAAACTGAGGAGTGACGACCTGGAAAACTAGGAAGCTGAGGAATGATGACCTGGAAAACCAAGAAGCTGAGGAGTGACGACCTGGAAGATACCGACCTTCAGGATTCCATGAACTTAATCATGAGGCATATCAAAGAGTGTCGTCCTGGAACTTGACGACTTGAAAGTGATGACCTAGAAGATATTTCTCAAGTCTTCATGCATGAACTTGATGTCACGAGGGATAGCAAAGAATGTCATCCTGGAACATGATGACCTGAAAGTGATGACCTAGAATCTCATGGGCCATCATGCAGAACCCAAATCTCTGAAGATCACGCTCTATAAAGCTAAGATCCAAATGAGCTCTTGTAAAGCTGATAGATTGAATGCCAACTTGGCAGCTGGAGATGTCTACCTTGAGATCCCTCATAAGGATGTTTGAATGAAAATCTTGGCCTCTCAGGTCACAACGTAGAAATCAAACCCTTTGAGGGTTGTGCTTCGCAGAGCTATGATTGAACTGAGCTTTCATAGAACAAATGAGCTGAAAAGCTAAGAAGCTAACAACTGATGGGCCCAAGCACTTGTAAAGCAAATGGGCTGAAAAGCCAATAGCTAATGGACTTAAAAGCCAATAAATTTTTTCTAGTGAACTAATAGGCTCGAAAGCTGATAACATATCTCTGAGTCTTCCAAGCTAAGAAGGAGTTAACAAACTCTTGAGACTTGTGAGAATTCATTCCAAACATAGAATTTGGATGTCGAGCTATATAAGCTTACTTGAGAAAGAACTTTGCCTGACGAGATAAAACATGAGAAAGAATTTAGCTTCTCATGAATAATGTTAACTCTTTCTTGCCTTGACTCAAGAGCAAATGATTTAGAAAGAATCTAGCCACTCATAAATAAAGCTGGAGAAGGAATTTACTTGATCATTGTTAGGAGCTTTGAGCTTTGTGAGTGGAGCCTGCCAACTTTAAGGGTGTTGCTCGAAATCTGGTCTAAGCATTTTATGTTGGAGTTATGAGCTCACCACACATGGTTTTTGCTCAATTTCCCTAAAGCCTCTAACACGATTTCTTTGGAGCCCATTGATCAGCATCTCAGCTCGAATTTTCTATTGAAGCTCACCCATGTTGGGTCTCAACTCATAATTCTTCATAGGAGTTTACCCATGTAGGGTCTCAGCTCGTTTTATGAGGTTGTAATTCTCTGTTGGACCTATCAGGTTGGAGTATTCAAGATTATCTGGAGCTAACCCATTTAGGATTTCAGCTTGTAATTCTATGAGAGCCTACCCATGTAGGGTCTTAGCTTGTAATTCTTTGTGGGAGCCCACTCATGTAAGGTCTCAGCTTGTAATTCTTTATTTAAGCTTTCTCAGCTCGTCGTTCTTCATTGGATGTTGTCAGCTCGTCATTCTTTGTTGGAGCTCTATGAGCTCGTAAATCTTTGTTTAAGCTATGTCAACTCGTAATTCTTTGTTGGAGCTATGTGACCTCGTAATTCTTTGTTAGAGCTCTATCAACTTGTCATTCTTTATTGGAGCTTTATGAGCTCGTTACTCTTCATTGGAGCTCTATGAGCTCGTCATTCTTCATCAGAGCTCTCTTAGCTCGTCATTCTTCATCAAAGCTTTGTGAGCTCATCGGTCTTCATTATAGCTCTTTCAGCTCGTCATTCTTCATTGGAGCTTTGTGAGCTCATCATTCTTCATCGGAGCTCTATGAGCTCGTCATTCTTTGTTGGAGCTTTGTTAGCTCGTCAGTCTTCATTAGAGCTCTATGAGCTCGTCATTCTTTGTTGGAGCTTTGTTAGCTCGTCAGTCTTCATTAGAGCTCTATGAGCTCGTCATTCTTCATCAGAGCTCTCTTAGCTCGTCATTCTTTGTTGGAGCTTTGTGAGCTCATCATTCTTCATCGAAGCTCTGTGAGCTCATCATTCTTTGTTGGAGCTTTGTCAACTTGTCACTCTTCATCAGATTCTTTTTTGAAAGGCTCACCAAATAACAATTTGGATCTTGCCTAACTTGAGTGAAGATTTTGCTCTTGCATAACCCTGCTCATTTATTGATGGGGCCTACGAGTGGTAGATAAAACTTTGATGTAAGAGCTCACCAAATGGAGATTTGGATCTTGCTCGACCCTGGTCATCTATTGATGAGGTCTTAGGGCGATAGATAAAACTCTGATGTAAGAGCTCACCAAGTGGAGATTTGGATCTTGCTCGGCCCTGCTCATCTATTGACAAGGTCTTAGGGCGCTAAGTAAAACACTGATGTAAGAGCTCACCAAATGGAGATTTGGATCTTGCTCAGCCTTGCTCATCTATTGAC